TTTGAATCTAAAGTTATAACATTCATGAAATGCAATTATCGTGCTAAGCCAAGTTTTATTCGAATCAATTGTCGAAATTCAAATTTTTTATACAATTTAATAAATTAACTACGTTATTTAAAAGAAATAAAGTTAAAAGGTTTATTTCACTAAATAATGACATTCAAACTGAATACAGATTCGCTATGGCTCTTCATATCAAGTTAATATTCTTCCAAATCTCTAGGTCTGCAACAATTGCAGCTTTCAGGACAATTTATATTTGTCTTACATTGTGCAGAACCATAAGCAACACCACCAGTGTTTTCAAATGTACTACAATAATCTGATGGTAAACATCCAGCGCACACATAGCAGACATTGTTAATGCATGTGCCTGTAGCAGTAAGCCAAATATTAGCAGCACGATTTACTATAAAATCGCTGACACAATCCGAGTCTTGTACGCAATCAACGCATACACCATTTACACAGGTTTCATCGGCTTCACACTGCAAATTATTAAGAAACCATTTTTTTAGAAAAAATAATAATTTATATATAATATCGAAAAAAGCAAATACCCACAGTATGACCGCAAGTTCCGCAGTTTTGACTATCAGACTTAGTATCAACGCAGGTATTACTACTGCTACATAATGTTTTACCGATGGGGCAACCACATTTTCCGTCTTGACAAGTTTGACCGTCAGGACACTGTAAAAATAATTAAATTAGTAAGAAGCCCAAATAGTTAAAAAAATTATAGAGAAAAAGAACAAATATATACGCATTTATTGCCACAGGTTCTATCATCAGGACAGCATGCACCATCTATACATTGATTAGCACTTTTGCACTATAAATATAAAATTTCTCGGAATTAGTATCGTTTGTTAATATTCTAAGTTATAGAAAAAACTATAAATACGTACGCAGGATGTTCCACATGAAAGTCCGTGAGGACAGCATAAGCTACCGCCTAAGCAATCATGACCAACGGGACACTAAAAATTATTATTTAAATAGTTAGAGTTAGTGCTAATGGTATTAAGAAGATAGGAATACGTACGCAATTATCTCTGCCACATAGTGTTTGACCATTGGGACAATCAGCAGC